CCCCTAGGTCGATACAAGAAAGAAATCGTCATAGCCTCCTAGGTCAATTCAAGAAAAAGTCATCATAGCCCCCTAGGTCAATACAAGATTGAAATCATCATAGCCCCCTAGGTCAATACAAGAAAGACATCATCATAGCCCCCTAGGTCGATACAAGAAAGAAATCGTCATAGCCTTCTAGGTCAATTCAAGAAAAAGTCATCATAGCCCCCTAGGTCAATACAAGATTGAAATCATCATAGCCCCCTAGGTCAATACAAGAAAGACATCAGCATAGCCCCCTAGGTCAATACAATCATCATCATCATAGCGCTTTGTTATTGATGAATACATCATAAAAAAATTTGCAAGAAAAACAACACACATGGCAAATATCAATAGTGATCTTACCAACTTGATCAACCGCTTTTCCTTTAAACAATGTTCCTTCACGAAGTGATTTGACCGCTTCTCTATTTCTTTTATGTTCACTATAACTATAAAGGAGACAAATGACATTGGAACATTTTAATATTGACATTGGAATGAGGAGAACAATGCAAACCATCACGATGAAAGTTTTTAAGAAGTAAGTAAAGTCATTATCAAGTAATAACTGTGAACTGATAACTGATTTAAGGGCAAAAAAATATAGATATGTTTCAGTTTAAAATGCGCTACTCAGATGGTTTTTTTTTTGTCATACAGTATCTGAAGACAAAAATTAAGGACTACGTACATTACTGTATTTTTAGAAAACAGGTCAAATATTTTTTTAGGATTTGCTATTTGGGAATAATATTTAACATAGAACACAATGTTAGAGCAAAATATCATTTTGCTATCACTTTTTTAAAACCACGATGTCTGAAATATGAATTATGCCAAAAAGTACTTCATTAGTCACAATATATATAATAGCACCAGTGAAAATTTTGAAATACAGCACAAGTTGCCCACCATAGGAAGAAAAGGTAAAGCACTCGTAAGCATGTAGTAAAAGTTTTCAGTAAGTCAAATTCACAATTAATGATTTTCATGAATGAATTGTTTTCAATCAAATAAAATTATATATTTTATAAAAGCGGTATGTGACATTTTTAATTCACTGTCAATCTGTTTGTTTTTGAGAAAAACTGCATAAAATGGTAATTTAGCAGTGGTTCCAATAGACCACAATAAAAACACATTTTGAAACAATAGTACATGCCCTAAAACATGTTCTATCCCTTAATTTTTTTCCATTTTCTTCATCCTCATGGCATGAAATGTAACATATGTAAAAATAAAGAATATGACATTGTTTTTTACAATTGTACTTGTGTATTACCTTAATTTTGATGGTGTTGAAACCTCTTTTGATGATTGTCCTGAAACTGGCCGATCGGCTCGTTTACACTTCTCACCAGATTGCTGAAATAAATTGAATAAATAACCTGAAGTCACACATGTATAGAAATAGAAATATATAATACCATATTTCTCTTCCAGTGATGCAGAGGTATGGTTTAAGTAAATCATGAGAGAAAACCAAATAGATTTCATACTATAATGAAATTTATACGTTAAAGTATTAGAAACTGAGTGGTTTGTCTAGATACTTAAACAGTATACAGTACAATTACAGTTGTTAAAAGTACAAATCATAAAAATTAAATTGTGGAAGTAAAGCGATGTCGTAGCACGATGTGTAAGCATCAAAAGAGGTGAATAGCAATTTTTAAAAAATAAAATAGGTCTTGAAAGATGAGTTTTTACATGATTCACGATGATAAAAATTCAAATGTATTTTATCAAATCACACAATAAACAGTTTTTTTTTTCTTGAGTAGCGTAAACTGATCGTGTACTCCGCTTTGACCATGTTATATCAAGGTGGAATTGATTTTGAAAGAATTTTAGCTTTCAATCTAAAGACTGTTTCTATCACAGAAAGTATTTACTTACAAACAAAGAGATGCTAATTTCACAAAATTGACTAGCCGACGTATTGCATGCGACTAGGTCTATTGTTTACAAATTATAATTCACGACTGGCAGGATGCGTGTTCGGTCGGTACATAATTATAATAACAATCGAACAATAGTCCTGGTCGGAAGCATTTCCGACCAGCATGGCAAGATCCTTGAATAATGAAGATGATTTCTGCAGCCACACTGGTATTAGCAATATTGGAAAAGTTAACACATAGCCTGATGTCGTTTTTTCTTTATCATTTCTGCTATCTGTGGAGATGTTCTGCAGGACATGTGTTAACCCTGCCGAGTACAACCTCTTAGTTTTTACTAAAATTACACTCACAAATAAAAGTTTTGCTTATTCTAGTGTCATATTAAAATACAGCAATGTACATACCATAGCAGTGGTAGCAGATCTAGGCCTGCTTTTGATATGTCTTCTTGGACTGAATGGTTTAGAACTTTTTCTACTTCCATCTTTACCAGATTGTGGTCTTCTCTGCGGGGCTGAAAATGGCCTGACAGACAGTTTTAGAGCTCCCTGAAAGAATAAACCAGTTTTAAAAACACTGTGTAAGAGTATTGCATTGCAGGTGACATTATGCTCTATAACAAATCTAGACAATTGGTTAGCGTGAAACAATACATACCACGGTAATTACAAACATCTCCTGTCACGTTTCTTGTACAAAGCTAAATTAAAATCATGATTTTTTTAAGAATTTGTACAGTGTTGACAACTTGACATGTGAAGATATTCATATTCAGGTCACTGCGCAGGTAAAGTTACAAATTTGGTGAGGTTTTTGACAGCATGTTAGACAAAAAAATTAAAAGTAAAATTAAATTTTCATAAAAAGCAATATAAATTGTTTTGTAACAATTTAAAAATTAAAATGGCATTAATTTTGGAAAAAGAGTCCATAATATCTGATGTTTGTACCAAATACAAACTACATGTAAATTGATACAGGGTTGAGAAGATGTGTTTTGATAACACGGCTGTAATTCGGCCATCTTGAATCAGAATTCAAAACAAATGAACGTGCATACCGGTATATATTCTAAGATGCATGATGTATGTACACAATTTGAATGTAATTAGTACAGGCATGTCTGAGATAAAGGTGTCAGAACAGGGACAAACAAATTGACCAGAAATGAAGCCATGAAATCAATTATTAATAAAATAACTAAAAATATTTAAGAACGGTGAGAGCACATGTTCAATAACTGTGTTCTTCTATATTATATGCAGTTTATCTATTATGACTACATATAAGTGTAGTGTAATATTTTACTAACCATTTGGGATGGTTTTTCTTCTGTCCTTTCATCTAAGTGATTTTCCATGGTTGATTTTTGATCTGCGATAGGTGGGTGTGCTAAATCTGCCAACTGCTCCATTCTGGAGGCTTGTCTGAATGGTGGTTTTGAAACCAGCTACAATTAAATAGACGCAAGATAAAAATCTTAAAAAAAAAACATTTGATGTTTCAAAACAAAAGCATCAACAATTGCAGCCATAGAGGGCAGCTGCATATTTTGCTTTTCCATCTTTGGGCACTGAAGACCACAAGGTCTTGAATAATTAAGGTGAATAATTAAGCATGAATGTTATAATCGATATTAGTATCAGCAGAAAAAACCTGTCTATACCTTAGTTTTGGCACTTTGTGGCCTTCTGACACAACTGCGGCCATATTGTATCTCAGTTTCACCTTCTTCCACACTTTTCTCATGAACTTTGGGCGTCTCTGGCACAGACACAAGCGCTTCAACTGTCTTAGTCTCCTTTGGTAAGTCATCACCAAATTCAATTGTCTTTACAGTTTTAAATTTTTGAGCAGCTGTATCAGTTGATTTGAGTCCTTGTTTTTTCGTCATGGCAACTTCGTAATAATTTGTTTTTAACGAACTGTCTGACGATCTCTGCCACCCAAAAATTGAGCTTTTTTGCTCTGATTGTGCTTCCTCAACACGATCGATTGCATCTGCAGCCTCTTCGGTATCAGACAAGGAAATCTTTGACATCATTGTCTCTACGTCTTTCCTTCTTTTCGCTTTCCGAATTTTCGCAGTTAGATCATCGGGCACATTCTCCATCGCTTTGTCGTCATCGGGAATAGCCTCCTTTTTTTCGTCAGCATCCCCATAATCCACTGATACCGTAGAAGTGGCTAACCTAGCTTTGGCCGAGACAGGTCTCTTTCTATACGCTGGATGGGTGGTTCTCACTCCAGCGTGTTGCCTTTCGGCCATCACGTCAGTTTCATTACTTGTGACTGCCGATCTAGGTCGTCGCCTCGAAACCATTCGTTTTCTGCGTGGACTATGTGGGCTTCTTGGGGTGATATCAACAGTTATATTCCTATCCTCAGCGATTCTGACCGTTGCCTTTGTCACTGGTCGGGTTCCTGTAGCTTCATCAACAGAACGACTGGACAACATTATGCTGGTGTACTTTGAGTCGTTGTTCTGTGGCTCATCGTCATAAATATAGTTATCAACACTTTCAACTTCGATATCATGACCAGTGCCACCTTTTAAAAGTCTACAAATAAACAATTTAGTATGTAACCTCTCACAGAATAAATTTACCCAAATCTGCTTGTAATCATACAATAGCATTGTACATGAATGACATCACTATACAGTATGTACTGGTAATAAATATTTAATATTCATGAATATTCGGTTTATTCAGATTAAAACAGAAGTATTCATAACAATCCATTTTACTGTATGGGAGCGAAAGCTGGAGGGTCACCAAGGTTGACATGAAAAAGCTATCAAGTTTTCACCATAACTGCCTCAGGCGCATCTGCAAAGTGTTCTGGCCATGCCGAATATCTACCTTGGACCTACTCAAAAGAACTGGAGCCACCTGCATCATTGCACAAATAAGGCTTAGAAGACTCAGATGGCTTGGGCATGTTCTCAGAATGCCCGATTCATACAACACCAAGATAGCTCCCCGCTGGACACCACAAGGAAAACAACCAAGGGGCAGGCCGAAGAACACCTGGCGGGGGGACCCATTGAGCAAGTTCTCAGGGAAATGGGGTTAACATGGGGAGAAACAGAAACCAAGACTAAAAACCGTGTTGAGTGGAGGGATCTTCTTGGAGGGAAGATTCATAACATTTGAAGCGTTGAAATTAGTAAACTTCCTTGCGATTCACAAAATCTACTCAAAAGCCGTAATGAAGAGTTGAAAATCTGTGAATGCTGCCTTACATTTTGTCTGTTTTATATTCTTCGAAAAATATTCTATGATTTCATCGTTTTAATTTTTACAAACTTGAATGAATTTTTAAATAATATCTGAATTAGAAATAACCATATTAATAATACCTATCTGTGTCCAGTTCATCTTCGTCACTAGCCTCACCAGTGGGAATTGAAAACAACATGGGTTCAGGAGTTGGACGGCGTAATAACAGAGTTCTTGGTGACTGAGTAGATAAGAATATGAATTAATTAATATTAAAAAACAGGTTCACGTCAATTCTACACAAGTTAGTGAAATCTGAAAACATCTGATATTATGAAATCAACTAACTTTGCACTATGTTTGAGGATTATGGTAACACATGTTGTTGTTTTTTGCCACTCATTTCAATGGAGGCTTTTAGCAGGTGATGATACTTAAAACTACTGTACACCAGTCAATTTTCGCTGCTACGAAAATAATTTGAATTCATGAATTTTTTGCCTAGATGTCACTGATGTCATCAATTCATGATAGGAACTAATCCCATTTTATTTTTATTTCACCAACAGGGAAACAATGACTTCTATTGTTATATACATGTTCACATGAATTTAAATTTAGAGGATTTTATTTATTCTCGAAAATAGCGAAATTGAAAACCAGCAAATAATAAATGTGTTTACAGTATCCCCCCCCCAAAAAAAAATGTTGGTGTAACATTTTGCCTATTTTGGGGGATTTTTAAATAATTTTATCAAACTTTTGGAAAAAAAATATGAAAAAATAGATTTTATATGTTTTGTTTTGTTTGACAAACAAAACTGACTAGCTCAAATAATGAAACATACTTGTTTGACATTTATTTCTTTGTAACTCATGTTCTCCTTATCATCATCATCATCTTTGTCTTCATCATCACTCTCCTCTTTTTCATCATTTCCAATATTCAAATCCAATCTCAGTTCCTCTCTATCGGTGTCCTTTCCCTTGCTGGCATCATCTGTCTCCTCATTACTAGTGCCACCATTTATCATTCTCTCAATATCTGGCGATCCACACGGTGGAGGAGGCGGCAGACTCACTGTCTCTTCATCTGCATACGCTGCTGATAATTTTGCTGAAAAATTTAAATGCAAGCAAAGTTGAGAATATGCAAGAGAATCATTCATAAATAAAAAATTAACATTTTGCCCCTTACACTATTGCTAGCATACAACACCAAGATAATCCAATTATTAATTTGAACATTAAATAACAAAATTATGAAAAAACAAACAAATATTTTTTGTTGTTGTATATACTGCACAGTTCATTTTGGTAGAGTGCTCTGAAAAAAATGGGCTAATGATAAGTTACAAACAAACTCACCTAAGTTGTGCGCATTTGCATTCGGTTGACTGTTAACAAATTCCTCCAGTGTGTTCTCAATGTGCTCTTTGCTCATTTGATTCAAATCTTCATGGGTGTTTGCCACGGTAACAGCTTCAACATCGTGATGTTGTACAGACATACTCCCGCTTGGAGGTCGTGATCTGGGATTGTAACGTTCTCCAAGAACTGAAATCAACAAACACAAATTGAGTGCTGTCAGTTTTTACTACTGTAAAAATGCATTAATTATTCACTTGGTTTTAAATTCGCTATTTTTGTTGATAAGTAAAATCAATTACTAAATTAAATTAAATCTACCTAAACATGTAAAATAACAATAAAACTCATTGTTTCTTTGATGAATTCGTGAAAATCAAACACAGTGAATATGCTCAAAACATCAGAATATAAAAAAATTAAATGTCAGTGAAAATAAATGGAAATTTTTACAGTATTTGACTACAACTATAATTACAGTACATCTGGTGTAGCAAAAACAATATGATTGAATAGTCACCCATTATCAGTATGGATATGTTCAAGAGCATTATAAACAAATGCACTAGATATCTTCCATATTTGGGAAATGAGAGTCATATTCATCATTCAAGCTCACCCCTGAAGGTGAATAATTTCTACTAGCATTTTGAGTTGTTTCAAATGATCACTATTTAAGGAAAGGTGCTTATATTGATACTTTCGTAAGGCCTTGTAAAAGAAAAAAAATTCTGGTCAAATTGTTTTTTTTCCCCAAAATTAGGCAATGAGGCGTTCTCTTTTTGCTAAAATATTTGATGTTGCAGGTTTCATCAATTTGTCAACAGACTATCAACCTCTGCTATATATTGAATCATATGATTCCTGTACTGTGCTTCTGCACACTAAAACTAAAAAAAACTTACTTGCTATAGGAGGACCATACTCATTGAATGGAATGGCCTTGTCTATTGATGTAGGTTTCCGTGAGCTGGGACTTTGCGGTATTTTTTTAGCACTCCATGGACGCCTGGACACTGTTGCACTTGTAGGTCTATTTCCGCTCTGTAGACGTTCACTTTGTTGACGTATTAGATCAGGAATTGATGTATTGCTACCCCTAATGAAGAACAGTAAAAAAAAAACTTTTCAAAAATAGAATAGAATCGTTATTGCTATCATATCCCATATTTGAGGTTTTGATGAAAAAGTAATAAAGTAATACAATCTGAAAAATACATGTAAAAAAATAACTAACACAAACAACAACAACAACAAAATAAATAAATAAAAATCAAGCAAGACACTTAAATTTCTGAAAATAGAAAAAATGGTTAATTTGTATTTTCTGAAGCAGCTGGTTTAAGAATTTCACCTTTAATTGAATTTTCTTGTATATTAAAACATGATGTGTTTCGCCTCAATAAGATTTGTGTTACCGGAAATACTTATATCTTTAAAACCATTTTAAAATTTATTTAAATTAATCAGTTTTTTTGAGAAGCAAAGCTTTCATGTCTTAAGATTGATACTTACAAATTTAGTGAATAATTAATCAAAAATAGTGGAAAATAATTCATTTATTATTTTATAATCCACACATTTTGCAGTGCCACCAAATTACCAACTCACCATGCATGTGTCTGTATGCTAAGTTTTGACAGTGGTGGTTCAGTGTCCATCTCGGTGTAACTCTTCTTCCTACGACAAACCTTAGCACTTCGGGCTCTAGGTCGTAAAGTTCTTGCGTCAGTGACATGACTGCCAATGTTATATACCGAGGTCTTGACTTGGTCCAATTTTGTCAGCGATACACTGGAGGCGCTCAACCAGTCCTGTTGAAACATTAATCCGCCTCGAAAATTAAAACATGTGTCACCAAATTGTCATAATTTAACATTAGCTAAGGATAACAATAAACTAGCAGCCTGTCGGCTGAGATAGCTTCGCTGTTAGCAATGCACATTACAATTAAAGAACTGAAGATATCATTAGAAAATGAACAATATGTATAGTATCAAGGC